TTCATGCTACAGAAACCGGGATAAGCTCCGGCCTGATGGGCCACTTGGCTCGTACGCAGACTTTACCTACTTAAAATACCGTGACTGAGCTCCCTTAGGTTTCATTCATTCTTTCTTCTTTGATTAGAAACTAGTCTGTCAGGACAGCCGGTATATCTGGGAGATTCTTAGAACAGCAATTAAAGTAGAGGTGTACCGCAAATTCATACTTACGGGAAGTCCCCGATGACCACAAGCCTGGCACTAATGTTCTTAAGAGCGTTGGCGACTGTTTCATTGGTCAAGCTACTGTGACTGACACGGACGCTGTCCGTGACGAGGATGATGAGTTTGCTGGCAGCAGGCCTGAAGGGATACTCCGCTGCCTTCATCAAACCAAGATAGCCGTCACTTTCCTGGAAGTCGAGATCTTTTTTGCTGTAGATTGAAAATATGGAAACAACGAAAAGTCAGCTACGAAAGAAAATCACCGTCAACTATGCGATATTCTTCGTAAATGGTTTGAACCCAGGAGTATCAGTAGTTCGTCTAGTGTGATCGTCCGGGTGAGGGTAGTTCTGAAAAGAACTGCTGTTGATGGTGACTGACGTTTCGACAACCTGAGCGGAAGTCATCTTCAGAGTCAAGTGAATAGTGTTTGTCCGTCGATTGCGTTATATAATAATCTCCGGGTATAAGACATTAGAAGACATTTAGAGAAGCAAGGTATTGTAATTGGGATGACAGAAACGACAAGTCAGCTAGGACAGCGAGAAAAACCACTTTTACCTAGCAGCCCAAAATTGAAAATAAAATGCCTTTGAGTCAGTCACTCATATTACAATCTAAACGATGTGACCTTTCACTTAATTCCTTTAATTAACAAGGATAACAACCATCCAATTTCGCCCTACAAACAACAGAGAAAAAGGAAGAAAACTACGGGATTTGTCTTGACCGACATACTTGCAAAACTAACACAGTTTGTGAAAGCTGTATATTCTTTTGTTCGCTCTTGTATTTTACAAAGGGAACAAAAGGGAGGCTGAGGGGTTTATATTTGCATTTTGTTTTAAAAAGCTACCCTTCCCCCCTCCTCCCCTCACCCCCCTCCGAAAAAAAAAGACAATAACAAATTCACACCTTTCGGCGAATTCCATGTTTTCGATGACTTCAGGGCTGAAGTCCTTCGCGTCACTTAAGAACCTTCCCTTGATCGTGTGGACGTGACCAGGCTTGTGCACTGGCGCTTTACCGCTGAACCCTACCAGACCAAACTGCGGTAAAATGCCAAGCCTCTTCAGCTCTTCGTCAAGAAGTTGGACAAATCCAGGCAAATAGCCTTTGGACGTCTTTTCAGGCACTAATAATTTGGCGACGGACTCCATTTTTTCTCCTTCGCTACACACGAAAACAACATCCACCTTGCGAGGAGGCTTTAGTTCTTTCCACGTGGAGTTCTTCTCATGTATAACCTCTTCGACATCACAGGATGCTGTGGATGTAAATAAAACAAGAAAAGTAAGCCAGCTCTAATTCTAAACTCTCTCTACAATATCGATACAAGGCCAAGAATATTGAATCGTCAACTATCGAATTTTGTTGATGAACCATGCTTGGTATCAGACTACCGGTCAGTAATGTTCAGGTTTCGTCCTCTGACAGGGTTCATTGTCCCAGATCACTTCAAGAACGATGCAAAAGTTAAGCGACTCTTAAGTAAAGATATATCATGAAGTCCCAGATAATTAATTTTTACTTTGACATATTTGTTTTTTGTTTTGTTTTGTTTTTGTTTGTTTGTTTGTTTTGCCAACTCTCTCAGAGTTCTAATCCAACATGTTATGAGAAAAGTCATGACACTCACAGCACTCGTCTGGTAGAGGCATCTCAATTCCGTGACGCTTGCATTCCCTGACGTATGCTGCAGTCACGTTGCAATGCAAAGTCTTCACTGGAGCAGAAATGTCGCAGTCTTCGTAATCAGCCTCGCATGCAGCCATGAAATCAAGTGGATTGACCTAAACAATGTTAAAAAAAAGGTGAGGCGAGGAATTCGAACTCGACGTAATAAATGTCTACAAGGTTTAGCGATAGATATGTGAAGGGTTAAGGAGCAACGCCACGGTTTATGCATCTTGAAAAGGTTAGCCTAAATTTTTCAAGTCGTCGTTTGTAATCCGTGTCAATCTTCTCCATCCTTAACTATCCTTGTTCCTTTATGGTTCAATATTATCTCTTTGGTGTTCTTCTATCTTAATTAACTGAGCTCCTTTAAGAAACATAATTGGGTTGTTATCTGATCGACGTTGCAGTTAGAAGTGATTCCAAACCACTCGAGTTTATAGGGATCTTTGGATCCTACTACAACGCTAAATTTCAGTAGTACGCAAGGCAAATGGTCTCGGAATAAGAACCAAGACGAGAAAAACCCGAACATCTTTAAAAATCCTGAGATAAATGTATCCAGAGGTGCAATCGTAGCTAGTGGGAGATGGTCCAGAGAATTTTGAGAACGTCGCCATTCGAACTACTGTCGCCAATCCGATAAGGCCAAAGGAAATATTTAAGAGAGAAAACAACGACTACAATACCTTAGAGAAGCATCTGCTGAGTGGCGAGGTCTTCTGGAAGAAAAGCTCATCACATCGTTTGCCCTGTAACTCCGCCCTATTACAAGGCACTTCTACTTCATTCTCAGGCGCCACCTTGCAGTCACCGCGTACAAGCCAGGAGTTGACGAAGTCAGACAACTTAGTTCGGTTCTTGCCAGTTGGCGACAGCCAGTCATCGCTTGGTTCACCATTATTAGTGCCAAGGAGCCCTGAAGCAAAAAGAAGAGTCCAGTTTTTTTAGTTGTTTCAATAGTAGCGTTGATGAGCGAGAAAAGAAAGGGGAGCTATTCATCAGCAGTTTATTATCAAAGATTGCCCTGCTCTTGCAGAACGTAGAATTTATGTATAAAATAAATAAATAAATAAATAAATAAATAAATAAATCATTTTATCTAAGCGTCGAAGAGTTTAGCACTACTTTACTACTTGGGAACACTGAAACAAGCAAACAAATATTGAAAATTGAACAGAAACTGGTTACAAATCCAAACTGGGGGGAGGATGATCAGTTGGCTATTTACAAAGCGTGAAGGAGTTGAACTTGGGACAACCAAACACAACATCTAGTGGCAGAGAGGAACCTCCAGCGCCCTAACCACTAGGTCACGCTGCCTTCATTATTGCTGCATTGTTGGAAGAGGAAGACTTGAGTGTGAATAGATGCTATACGTGAACTACACTCTGTGCTAGAGTTACACTACCCCATTCAAACCAGTAAAATCTAATAGCGAGAACAATTCATTCTACGTACCAGCCGTTCTGTTGTGATAGAAGCCAGAGACAACATGGCTGCAGATGAAGTGCTCCATGTCACATTCCACAGAGAAGCCAAAGTCATTGGTCAAGTTAATATAAGGCCCATCTCGGACTACAGTCGTGTTCCTAAACTGCACTGGAAGTTCTTCAAACAGCTTGCCCCCCGGGCTAAGGAGATCCTCCAACTTGACCTTGCCATCACGGTAGATCTTCACCACAGCATCATTAGTAGTGATAATGAGAGACTCAGAAGCGGAAATGACCGTAAAGTTTCCGTCCTTGAAGTCACGTGTCACAAGGTACTCACACTCAGGTTTCTTTAATCCAGGGAATTGGAAGTAGCGTTTGTCAAAAGTGTAAAAATGCTTGCCGAATATCATGGCAGTGTCATCTAGGGAAAGAGAAGGACGGCGTAAGTTAGGAAGTAATGTGTTGACTTATTTGGATAAGTTGGGCGAGAAAACAAACGACTTGTCGTTGCGCTGCTTTCAAATACGAATTCTAGTTGCGCTGCTTTCAAACTGTTTTTCTAAAGTTTACTGAAAACCTGTTAATGAAACTGGAGTTGTTTCATATCCGATCCTCTCTTCAAAAACAGCCCTTGGTTGTGGTTATCACTTTACCGGCCTCAACTAACTAACCACCAGACAACAGTTGCCAGAAAAAGTGAGTGTTTTTTTGTACAAATTCGTGCCTGCATAACCTGTATATAAATTATCTAGGGAGAGGAAACACTTAGCAACATTCATCAATACGTCACATACTTTTTCGTCGCGAATGCTTAATACCAATGCTTTTAAAACATTTCGTTTTGCTGCTGCACTTATGAAAGTAAATAAGCGACCTATAGGACAAGAGAAATGATTGGAAAAGAAGCGAAAGGGAACATGGGGACTGACTTGAAGTTATACTCTTTTTCCCTACTATGACTTACTCTTTGGTTGAAGCATCTCCACAATATCTTCAGGTTTCAGCTCACTCAGCGCCTTCAGGGTCTTCCATGTGGTGAATACCGGCGAGAGAGTTCTGTTCAGATACTCGTGAACGGTTTGATTCAGCATGCACATGGTGTAGTTCAAGGCGTGGTCAGTGATGTTCATCGTGAAATTCATCATATTGAAGTAGAAGTATTTGGGAAGATGGGCATTGTGGTGAATCGTCTCGTTGACCAGTGAGCCGTTGACAAAGCTGGCTGTCGTGTTGACCACCACAAATGTGAGGTTGTAGATGACGCGGGTAAAGTTTGCAGTGATGTTGACAGCAGTCATGGTCAAGTTGTAAGTGCTGTTGAGGAACAGTTCTGTCATGTTTCGTGTCACATTCAGCGTGGAGCCCGTCATGTTCATGTAACTATGGGCGAACTGATAGAAAAACTTCGTGTAGTTCTTTCGCAGAGCTAGCGGGCACGCGAAGCTGCTGTTCATCATCTGCTCGGTCACGGTTGTGTTGTATGGGTACGTAGTAAGGTACCACGTCATGACATAGATGGTTGTTTCTATTGGTTCAGCGACGGTTTGGACCAGTCGTGGGAAGTAGTACCGTGTGTAGTTTTGCCAGCTGTTGTTTCGCATAACGCTGATGACTTGGAACATTGTCGAGTTCCAGTTCTTCAGAGCAGGACGAGTCCATGGCATGCTGTTAGGAGAACAATAACAACAACAAAAAGAAATTAGCAAATGATTTAATCTTAAAACGTTTTTAAAATGCTTAAATGAAATGTGTTCAAGCGTTCAAGATTAAAATCACATTTGAGACCGAACGGCCAAAACAAAGTTAGTTGAATATTCTTTTTAGTCTTGTTTACAGGGAAAAAATAAAATTTCATAACACTTCAGCGCCTAATTACCAGCCTTACCAGTGAGTCCAGTTGTTGTAATGCGTTGTGAAATTCAATAGCTCCCACGTCTCATTCAGTGGTTTGCTGAAGTTGGTTAAGGTCAGTAGTTGTACCGTCATGTTCCAAACCTGAATGGTCATATTGTGAGTGCGGTTGATGTAGAGCTCTATAATCTCTTGTGTAGTCTTGTTGCTTGTCACGTTTAAGACATTGACAGTGTCGTTGACAAGCATAACAGCGAAGTCAGTGACATTCACCAGCCACTCGTGAGTTCTGTTCATACCACACGCTGGGGACCGTATTGTTGCATTGTACATCTCGAGGGTTTTGTTCAACAGGCCTTCAATGGCTTGATACAAGGTTGTGTTGGAAGTTAAGTTGTGGAAGGACAAGGTGATGTTCACTGGATAGCGAAGCGATGGAAGGAACCATTCCAAAGATGAGTTGCAGATGGTCCAATTGTGGAAGAGCTCGTAAGTGAAGTTAAATACGCTAATATTGAGTGCTTCGGTAAAGTTCTGCCAGACCGGGTACGCGACTCCTCCAAGGAATGAAGAGCCGTTAATATAGCCTGTAATGTTCACAAGTATTTCCCTGCTTATGTTATAAAGCACGGGATGTGTGACGTTCAGGATATACTCAGTAACGTTGTGGGTGAAATTTCTCAACACCAAGCTGACGTTCTTCAGAGTATCTGTAAAGTTGACAGTGCCATTTAACAACTCTAGGGTGAGATTGTGAACTTCCGGTAGGTATGTCTTCAGGTGATAGTTTACAGTCTTGTTGGCGATTGTCCAGTTTCCAATCTCGCTGACTGTTCTGTTCAACCAGGCAGTGAAGTTGCAAGTAGCGTTTCTTCCCCACTCAGTCAAATTAAAAATAAACGCTTCATAAGTTTGGTTGTACCAAGTCATGTTTCTGATGATATTCGTGATGTTTCCAAGAACGGCTGTGGTATTTACGTGGTCGGTAAAGTTCTGCAGAATCACGATCATCTCTTCCGTGATGTTTTTCAAGGTAACATTGCTCAACCTCACGTCGTAAACGGCATACGCCAAGTTGTAGTAGAAGAGCTTGGCGTCCAGTTTGTTGCTCTTGCCGTGGAAGTACCTGAGATAATTTGCAGTGACGTTAGGGATGCTGCGGGAAGTAACGTTTAAAAGATGCATGGTGAGATTGAAGAGATTTTCAGTGACATTCTCCGTGGTGTAGTTCCACACAAGCATCTCTTGAGTGACGTTTCTCAGCACGTATTTGAAGTGTGTTCGGAATTTGGTCATGTTCACGCCGCCCAATGTCACGTTAAGAGTGATGTTGGCTAGTTTGCTTGGGATGTTGAAGGTGCAGTTATTCAATTCCTTCCAGCCATTCCTGACGGATGTCATGTTTAGGAAGTCGTAGATGGTGTCGTCAGCTCTTACCTCCCTGCTCCATTCAGTATAGATCTCACTGCCATTAATCCTGTAGATCGTGTTGTTAATGTGCGTCTCGTTGTCCGAGAAAATCTTCAGGGTCCACGTCACGTTCTGCGAAGAGACATTGAAGTAAGAAATCCTCTCTGTGGCGTTGATATACCAAGCGACGGAGCCGTTGAATGCTGTTTTGTTGTAGTGGTGCCACGTACTCAGGTTGAAGAACGCACTATGGGACACGTTGCACGTTCTGGTTACAAATTCGATGGTTCGGTTCCATAATGTCAGGTTCGACACTACGCTCATGTTGCTGGCAAATCCATCCCATAGAAGAGTGTGGTTGTAAACTGTTACATTAGCAGTCGCATTGATACTGGTGTTGAAGGTTCCAGAGCAGTTCAGGCTAACTGTAATGTTTGGAAGGATGTCGATGGAGACATTGACATGATTTATCTCTTTGTTCCACACGACCGTGTGATTCAGGATCTTCTCTGGTTGGTACCGCACAAGGGATGTGAGGTTGAACATCTTGGTTGTATTCTTCAAGATACCGATCCAACTGACGGTCCTGTTAGGGGTGTAGCCAATCATCTTAACGATGTGATGCAGCCCTTCCGAAGTGGTCTTGTTTAACATGGACACTTGAGCTCCATAGGTTCGGTTGGTGAACGTGAGGTTGAGCACAATATCTTTCTTGGTGGTGGTGTTAAAGAAGGTAAATATGTAAGTGCTATTCAACATGACGGTGGTGCCGTTCTTGATCCTATGCGTGATGTTGATGCTGCGAATTTGGTCGACGTCAGGTAGCATCTCAGTGGAGAAGTACGTGTGATTCAGCTCTGCACTCCAGTTACCCATCGAGAAATTAAAATGAAGATTCTTGGTGGTTGTGGTGTTAGAGTAGGTGGCCGTCATGTTGAAAATTGTCCTGTTGTGGTAAGTGCAGTTAACCAGGATTCCTCTAGCCGTGGAGTTCGCAAACCATGTTGTATTGACCATTGCAGTTGTGTTTACACTTGTGATGTTAAAGATCAAGGATTTCCTTTCCGTTGCGTTCACATAGCTTAAGCACGTCGCTAGAAGGGTGACGTTTGAGTGGGTGCCGTTGAAGTAAGTGCTGTTCAAACAGATTCCTTTCTCAAGGGTGAAGTTCTTCAAAGAACCTAAGAGGACGATCGAATGGTTCAGATACGTGATGTTCAAGCTGACGTTTCTGATTTCGGGATTGTACATCCACGTGGTATTCAAGGTGATCGACCTGTTCTGGTGGGTGATGTTCACATGGCAAATCTTGATACCCTGAGTTGTGTTCGTCAGAGTCATGTTCAGCGAGGATGTCTTGTTAAAGGTCGTGGCTTTGCAGTAGAAAACTGTCATGTTCATGTTGGTGGAGTTCACGAACTCCTTGTAGCACGACAACATCTGAGTCCCATTGCTGGACACGTTTACCTGGGTCTTGTATCCGTTGGTGGCATTGATGTAGGTAACATTGATGGTCATGTTGTTGTTCAAGATTGGGGTGCTCCAGGCAGGGCAACTTACATTCCAGGTCACGTTCGTACTGCCATCAGTCATGTTATGCAGGCCTTGAAGGTGCAATGTGAGGTTCAATGGACGGTGTGTGATGTTCAGGGTCATGTTGCCTGTTGTGTTCGCGTTAAGGTTCAGCGATGTGTTGAGGTACAAAACAGAAATGGGACTGCTCTCTGTGGTGTTTTTTACGGTCGTGTTGGTCTCCAGATACCACTGGTGTGTGTCATTCATCAAGAAGAAAGTATGGTAGAGCGACCTGTTGAAAAGTGTGGCATTCAAAGCAAGCCCGTACTTGATCTTGTGGGTCATGTGGCACGTGCGGTGGAAGTAGAACGCGGTGAGATTTTTCGTCACATTCAGAGTGATATTGACAGCCTTGGAGAGGGGGACGTGGATTAAGTCAATCGTGGTAGCGTTCTCTTGATTTGCACCAATGCTGGCATTCCAGCGATACACCTCTTCTGTATGGTTAACTGTGACGTTGAAGAAATACTCCCGCTTAAAGGATGCTCCAGGTGTACAAATAGCAATGACCGTCTTGTTCGTGTTCTTGTCCGGCTTGGTGAAGTTGGCTTCCAGCTTAAAGTTGGTCAGCAGTGGATCGGTCTTGTTTAAGTATATGGAGAAGTTGGCTGGGCCGGTAAGCGGGAAGAATGGAGCGGTTTTGTTGTTCCAGGCCACTGGTATGGAGATGTTTGAACAAAGGTTAAGGCCGATGAGCTTGGTACTGTTAAAGATATCCATGCTGCAGATTCCAGTCTAAAATGAAAAGAGGAAGCGATGAGGAAAAACAGATGGGTTGTCACTGAGAACTACAGTTAGCCTTTAAATCTTTTTCGCCGCGTGTGCCTCTAGAACGCATATGCCGTAACAGCTAGATAACTTACCCTCACTTCACCTCAATTCACCCTACAACTCGACTATTTACTAAAAAAACAGAAATTTATGCACAAAATGCTGCAAGAAAGAAAAATCTCATACCGTGTTACGATGTTCCAGTCCACGGATCGGGATCTTTACGTTGTTCATATGATGGAAAAGGGAAGTCCTGTAATGGGATAAATCAACGAGTGATCAATTTCTTATTTCTCTCAAGATTATCAATACAGAATTACGAATGCATGCCATAAGTATTGAAGAATCAGTAACGTTAGGACAGTTACATGTTGTGATCAGGGACTTTGTCCCGTGCCAGTGGATAAGTCGCGAGACATCCCTGATGTTTGGGAGCTTAAGCAACGACGAAGACCACACCGAGGACGACGACTAGTAAAAAATGAATTTATATTTTACCCTCGAAATTCGCGATTGTCTAGATCTGTTGGGTACGCCAATGGCTCTAAAAACGTGCTTAAGCTAAATATGCAACGACGGCGTTCAATTCCAAATGGAAGTACGAAACATTAGCCGTCGTCGTCCATGTTCCGTAGACGACGCAGAACTTGGTCATTTCACGTTGGTGTTTTGCAGAGGACGGCAGAGAAATGTACAACGATTTACAACGCACGTGCACAGCCATTGTTGTGCTAATTAAACCTTTTGTTTTGTGACGTTCACGTTGCCGTCGTCGTCGTGGTTTGCTTAAGCTCCCTATTATTGAACTGTCCTCGAACCCTCACAAACTTGGTGCTTTCAAAAATTAACGATTTTACGTAGCTTCATGTGATTTGACGCTTTACTTGAGCTATGCTTCATGCAATGATTGGTCATAGTTGCGTGACTGACCCAATAACAACTGCAAATAAGTACAGGCTAGAGGATGGCAGAAAATCACAGTGGAAACAGGAAGAATGTGTGATGTCTTACGTGATGTTCAAGATCTCTTGTGGCTTCTCAGTGACATTGATATGTGACTTCAGTCCCTGTTCTTCGTTGTAGGTCACGTTGCCTTGCAGTTCAGTAGAAGTGGAGATAGAACCATTCAGCAGCACGCCTGATGAGAAGTGGAAGGCGTCTAAGGTGACCTTACCAGAAAGCACAATGGCAGCGCTAGAGAGTAAACAAGCAAAAAAATAATAATTAAAGCACCAAGTCAACGAAAGACAAAAGAGTTTTAAAAATCATCAAGTCATTGATTAGCTCCAACTAGAACATGTTCTTGGGTCGATGTGAATGTTACAAACATAATACACACTTCAACTGAATATAAGTTCCAATTACGAAACTGCTGCTTCCAAGCCCCGAGATATTCACAGCTAATCTCTGGAAAGCGCTGTTTCCAGTTCTTGTGTGTTAGGGAAATGCCAACGACAAAAACTAAACAGTATTAGCAGCAATGTCTATGTCGTTACCTTGGTTTTACAGTTCCCTTAATGACAGCTTTTTTAATGCCCCAGAAAAGGTTCAACAGGTCTGCTTTTCCCTGCACGTTCACACTGGTGACAGACGTGCCGTTGATACTCAGGTTCAGTGGCAGTCCAAGGCAGGTTGGGATGACGTATGTCTCTTCCAGGAAAAGGACACTCTTTGTGAAAGTTTTGTCAACTCCTCGTGACAGCATTCGCAGCAACTCAATGAGGTCGGCCAGGGGGATATCATCCTCTTCCAGCCACTCCAGGTCTTTCAAGGTGAACAGGTCAAAATCGTTGCCAAAGAGTTTCAGAGAGAGAAAACCGCTGGGTGTCATTGTACGGAGGTTTACCTGTGAGGCAAATAAAGTAAACGTGGTTTAGGCCAGGAAACTTTACTTAATCTCGGAAGACAGAACTGTTCTTAAATAAAGAAAGATGATTTTGCTCACACTCCTAAGAGTATAAAATTAACTTTTCCACACCCAAAAGATCGAGTCGAAGGAAACTTCAAACTTCGTCTATTTAGGTATAAAAGCACCAAGATAACATAACATACCAAAGAGGAAAAAGGATAGTAGTGATTCAGGAAGAGTGAAACGAATTACAAAACTGTCAGACGAGATGGAAAAATTTAGGCCTAGATATTTCAAGATGCGCCAACTTTGAATGAGCCCTCAAATGCAGATAGTCTCACTAGCTGTAATGATGCAATCTTGAAATGACTTCAAACTACATACGCTTCGCTTTTTCTATTCTGACAAAACTTTAAGGATTGTCAATGTTACCTTGCTATCAAGAGTTTCCATGTCGACCAGATTGTCGGCATATCTCTTTTCCACTTCCCTGGGGTCGTTTTCACTCTTCTTCATCATTGGCGTGTCTATGAGTCCCCGGATGTGGTTGTCAGGGAAGTACCCTTTGTGTCCAAAAAGCTTCTCCCAGATAATCTCCAGGCCCTCAAAACGCGTGCTTGTCTCGACCACTGGGAAAGCTCCACCCCACAAATCAAGAGTCATGTTCAGCTCAGCACTTCGCGGGAGAAGGCTCTCTGGGTGGTAGATGACGTGACTTTCGGTGCTGAAGCCGAGATTGTTTTCCTCTGGAGAAGATATATTTTTACAACAAAATGATCGAGATTAGGTGAGAAGACTCAGTAGGTGATCAACGATCTACATCAGTCTGTCATTCAACCAGTAAGTTCTAAGTGAGTCAGTGTGTTGAAACGAAAGGTGTCAGTTTATCATTGAGGCACTGAATCTCGGTCTTAGCTTTCTGTTAACAACGTTTGTACAAACCACAGAGCTGAAAAAGGTCTTAAATACTCCACAGTACATTGCACCATCCAGTGTGGTAAGTGCTTACCATTGATATAACTTTTCTGCATGAAGCGTGACTTGTAGGTTGTGTTGAATTCACGCAAAGGACTGTCTCTCTCTTTAAGAGCCTTCTTTATTATCTCACTCAACCTGATACAAAAGCATTTGCGAAAAGCAATTTTTAATTCCAAATTAGTTAACATTTTCGATTCCACTATTCTGGGATGGCAAAATTACACACTTAATGGTCGATAGTTAACTGATATCCTCATCGTTTTCGAAAAGAAACTGGCAAAGAATCCACCTAGCTCATCTACGGGAAATGTCACTAAAGTTAAAACTATTGAAAAAGTCGTATCTTTATATGAGATATGACATAAACGCGACTTTAGCGTGGAACATAAACAAGACATTTGAATCAAGAATCGATGATGCTATGTTTACTTTTCTTATTCTATTCGTCCTGACCGGGCCATAACGCTACAAAGGGATACGCTGGGGAAATTAAATTACGAGAAACAACTTACATCTTTCCGTGTGTGGGTTCCACGGAGTCGTTCATTTGCTTCAGATGTGTACTAACAAAAGCGCCAACTTGTGTGTTGATTTCGTCATCCAGCACCTCTGCAACGTATCTGACTGTCTGTTCACTGGGGTACTTCATCAAGGCAAGGTACGCCTGCAGCCTCAACTCGGGGTCTATTCCAAAGTCACCAAACACCTCCCTCTTCAAAGACTTCCATGTGTCCGGGCAATAAGCGAAGCGTCGAATGGTCTCTATGGCAACCACGGAGACATTGAGGTAATTGGCGCCTTGTGAACATTTCACGAGCTCTGTTCCTTTGGAGCGCATGCGTCCTGCATTACCAATGGCCTTCAGCGTAATAATGACGTCATCTACTGTTGACGGGGTGGCGTCACAGTGTTTTGGAAGTTGTTTTTCCAGGTAATCCACTGCATCCATCACCTCAGATTCCTAAATCGAACCCCATGTAATGAAACAATGGTTAATAAATTCCACTGCTGGAGTAACCAGTTAACCTTCAAAGCTGAAAGTAACGATCCTTTCATTAAAAGAATCGCCAAAAACCCTTTCAACAATAATCAAACTCAATTTGCTGGTTAACTGTGGACAGAATTTCACCACCTAAAAGTATCATAATAAAGGCAAAGGCCATGAGAAAGTTACGACCCTAATTTTCCAGTTCAATGATACTTTTGTCGTTGGTAGTAATTNAGTGTGGACGGAAAACATTTGATGCATTTTCAGTCAAACCTCTTTTTTCAAATTCCTCCGGCGTAGTGTGAATGGGGCGTTATTTGTTTTCCTCGGTACAAAGTACAAGTTATTTTGCTAGGAAGTATATACGCCCACGTGCGGTAACAAAAGGTGCTTGGAATATTATTTTCAGAGTTTGAAAATTTGCTTACTACAGGGATTTCTTTGTTACACCAAGTGACTGACAGCAGGGAGAACCGCCCCTTGAAAGAAGCGTCCGTGGCACAGGTACAAAGTTCGGTGGCAGTATAAGCAAATGTACATCGAACAAAGAAATCTTAATTTCTTTGTTCTTTGTTTAAAGAAGAGCAGCATGCATGTTCAATCTAAAATTAATACTTTATCTAACAAAGGCAATTATAGAAAGCAGCTAAAGCAAAATTCGAAAAGTACAAAGTTCAATTGAAGCAAACCCTAAGTGAGAGCAAGAAAAATTGGACGGCGTTGTAACGTAAAATACTACTGTTGACTTTTCTAGAATTATACGATCACTAAAGAAATGACTGAGCTACTAAGAATTTTCTCTGAACAGTTGATGATTCACCTGGTTCTCATCAACTGACTGCTTATCGATGTATTGATATTAAGAGACGTTAGACCTTAAGAGAAATTAAACCTCAGTCATATTTTTGGAACTACACAGTTAGACAACTGCATACCTCTGGAAGGACGATCAAAGGTTCCTCAGTGAACTGCAGCTGCAGAGCGCTCAAAATACCACGTTTGATGTTGGTGACGTACACAGGTTCTGTCTTGACAGGAGATACCCTGACAAAAGCGCCATTGTTTTCTGTGAAGAACAAGTGATCAGCCTCGATGGCGGCCTTGAAGCTCTCCTCGTTGGGAGAGGGGTTGAATTTCCTGTCGGGTGTGACTTCGAAGAGTCGCACATTTGTTACCTGAAAAATATGACACAATGAAAACCCTTTTCTTCATAAGCTCGATATACCAATTCCTTTTCCCTTTATTGCTGTATTAATGTCCATTGGTGATATTACAAATATGTTGTTCGTCGACTTAGCATCTCTCAAATTTTAAAGGGAAGTTCTGCTCTGCAGGTTTCATTTCGGAATGGGTCAGTATGGTTTTACCCAGAGATTTAAACATGAGATTTATTATAGAAGCATGATTTAAAAGCACCACATAAAAGTATTGCTCAGTTATAATGGACAGGCACTAGGGTTTTATCAACAGTAGTAAACTTTAGATCTACATTGTGCACCAGAAGAAACAGATCAGTCCACGAGGATTCTATTTACAGACCCAAATCGCATGCATAACGCAAGGACTAAAGGCTTAATTCTTGTTTGGAAAGTTCAAGTTTTAAGTCTGATTAAACTTAAAATTGAACATCTTAAAGCTATTCTCCTATTACTGCGAAGAGAAGTAGACGCAGGATGTGAGCAACATCCAAGCTAAATATGGGAGAATACAAAGTACAAATAAAACACAAACCCTGAGAAGATTCTGGCACTCTCCCACGCCCTCGATCTCACATTTAGCCTCGAGCCGAAGTCCAGTGGTTTGATTGGTGGTTCCGTTCACACCAGTCACGCTGGTGGCAACATAGCGGTATGTGTACCTTGTGTTAGGCTTGAAACGGGTGGGACCTGGTACAAGCAGGCATGTCACGTCAGTATAGAATCTGCATCACGGATCATTTGCAAAAATGTGATCCATAAATCAGTTGTAATACTGAAGAATAAAATATAGCCACTGGCTACAGCCATTATACAGCATTTCTTTTCTGCCATACGTTTTACAACGCTCCGATGAATAATAGTAGTAATAATAACACAGATTGAAATTTGGCGGCTATTCATCAAACCAAAGACCACCATGTTGAGTGCTTTGTGACCCGGGGTTCGTGTTAAATGGATACTTAGAAATCACGCCCATAATCCCAGATCAAGCAAAACTGCACACGACCTTACACAACTTTCTGACGATTTTTAAGGAGGTTTTACTGGGG